TCAATCACAGTCTTCCTGTTTTCATGCGACATTGGCTAAAAACTTGCATTCAACAATGAATAAATCTGACTGGTCCTAAAACGCCAAACTTACTATCTAAAATTACGAGGAATGTACGAGGTTTTTTTAGTCATCTGAGAAGAATTCGATTTTCTTTCCACTACTCCCACTTAAAGAAATCAAGCTTAAATGTTACTTATTTTTGCATTTAACAAAAACAAATTTAATATCAGAAACTTTACTCTTTCAGGTGTCAACAGTTCAAATTAAAAACTCCCCACAAAGCTTTCTAGTTTTTAATCATCATCCATTATTTACTTAACATAAGTTGTCACTCTGACAGTTCTGCTCATTGATATTAATGTAAAGTACTAAAGACAAATATCGAATCGAAACGAAATTACATTGAAAATATTGGTAAAAACTGCGTTAAGTTTTTTATTTATAAATAAATTTATTTTTTTTTATTTATAGAAGTCTGCGGAAAATTTACATGGAACAACACATTGAACCAAATAAAGAACTCGCATTTACTTTTAATGTATACACATTTTCGATTTTATTTATTATTTATTTTTTTTCTGAAACATGGAAGATGCAGAGCTGCGACATTTAGATAAAATGTGAACCTCAGAAACAGTCACATAGACTGACAGACAGGCAGTCATTTTCTAAAGTGAAATCTTTCACTTTTAGCAATTTTGATGGAGTGGTCTCTTTACACTTGCTTAAATGTGCATGTCAAGGGAAAGTACACCAGCAAATGTGTGTTTCCCCCCTTAGGTATTAAATCAACGTAATGGACAATTTGCCCGTACAGCAAGTAGGCATGGGCAAGAGTACTAAAATTGGTGGATAGATGATGTATGCGTGATTCTACATCATATGTAGGTAATGCAAATTTTTTTTTTGTTTTTACCTACCGCATTGTTTCATGAGGATGACTAAATTTTACGTATTTTTACTCATCCAGCTGTCATAGCAAATGTCATTTTGTTGTTTCGTACTTAAGTTGATAATTTATGGGAGCACGTAATTAGAATTATGAAGTTGGCAGGCTTTCTTTAATTGTGTTAATTCTTCTTCATAAGAAGTCTTTTCTATTGTTTAATAAATTTAAAATTTTTTATAAAGTATAATATAAATTATATTATTAAAGATAAACCAGATTTGCTTTTCGAGTATCTCCTATATCTTTGACTAGATCGAATATCTTCGGTTAACTTAAATATCTTTAAATAGTTCATATATATTCCAGTAGCTTGGGAATCTTCGAGCTTTTAAATTATTTTCGAGCAGCTCAAATATCATGGAGTATTTCGAATATCTTCGAGTAGCTTGAATGTTATCAAGTAACTTATAATTTTTTTTTTTTTTGAGTAACTCAAATATCTTCGAGTATTTCGAATATTTTCGAATAGCTTGAATATCATCAAGTAGCTTTATATATTTTTTTTTTGAGTAACTTAATTATTTTTGACCAGATCGAATATTTTCGAGTACCTCATTTGAAAGACGCTGGCAATTTACATTATTTTTAAAATTCGACAAAACGTATGTCAGACAATCTTTAGTGAAACGTGACCAAATTGCATACACATGCCTACATATTGTTGAGTCCTTGTATCTTTTATTTAAAAGTTCAGCACAGAAAGAACTCAGTAACAGTTTTCATGATGTTAACGATATGGCCAGATTTTTTAAGTGTTCCAAGCTAAATCCTGAGCTTCTGCCTACCTTGTCCACTTTATAATTGTCAAATATATCCCTATAACCTCAAACCCAGATTAGAGAAATGGTGAGCTGCGTCAACAGCTCGTTTAGAGATGTGTAGTAGTCAAAAATCGTCCTAGATGTTGAACTGGATTGAACTCAAAGACTTTAAAGCAGCTTGACTATCTGATAGTATATATCACTATCAGACAAGCGATAGTTTGCATAAAGCGATCACTTGCATCTGAAAAACACTATAATGTTCCGGAAGCCTATGCTAGGAAGATTTATTCAGTTCATTTAAGAAAACTCAACTCCCTATAGCTCTATCTCCTTTGGATCCATCAATAAAAATTAATAAACCCTAAATCTTAAAGAGGAACTTTCTAACAGTAATGTGTGATAGTTTGATATCTGATGAGATCATTAATATGAACCTGTAAATATGTATTTATCGTCAGCTTGCAAGTATAACAAATTGGGTATCTTTTTATTAAAGCATCGATTAATTTGCTGGAGGAAAGATGATTTTTAATTTTAATTCGGAAGTTGGAGTGGAATATTGGTTGTACATTTTAGTGACTGTTTTACATTTCAAATTATATTTAATGCTTTCGAAAGATTTTAAATATTTGAGCAATATTCCAGAATTTAAAATTACTATTTCGGAAAGGACGTTTCGAATTGAATTGAGGGAAAATTCGTTTAATAGTTGAATAAATGAACTAAACATATCTACGAAAAATTTATAAAGGATTGGCTTAAGTACTGACATAGTGTCTTAAGCCGGTATTTTAATATAACTGGGTGTTATATTTTTTCGGGGGGGTTTTGCAATCACATTCAGATTTTTCGAAAGAAGGGGGATTGTGTTAGGTTATAGTACTCAGTACTTCTGCTATAATTTGTTCTACTCCATTGCAATTATTAAAAATAATACTCTATGACATTTAGATAATTCAAGATATTCTTCTGATTAAGTAGAAATATTGTTTGTATGCAGTTTGTTGGTATATATTTTAGTTTTTTTTTTATTCGAAAGGTGTGTCATACAAAAAGTCTGCATCAAATAGATTGGATTAGAATTGTACTCGTATTTATGTGTTTATTTAAAATTGGTATTCATTTTTGGTGTTATTTTAACATGTTTTTAATATTTAAGACTTGCGTGTTCATTCACGCTTCTCAGCAATTAAGAAACAAGCGTGGAACACATGTTCCCCTTGTACAAATAAACTTGAGTTGCGTATCTATGAAGTACTAAACAGACTAAACAGACAGCCGGATAGACAACCGGTGTATGCATAGATAGACGTGCGGACAGACTGTAGAGGGTTAATACTTAATGAGTTTCATTTTCTGAAAAGTCATGCAGTTGGGCATGCGCATAAATATTTCAAATCAATTTTCAATTAATTTTTTTTTTTGGTTTTTTGTTTACTTTAGTTTAAGTTTTAGATACGTGAACAAAGGGAAATACTCAAGGGAATTGTGTAAAATAAATTAAAATACCAAATACTGAAGGAAGTGAAGTGAAGTGTAGTGGCTTTTGTGCCGAGAACGTTTAGGTTGTGTATCTGTGCGTATAACGAGTGCAGAATGATGACTTGTGATTTTATTATTAGTAAACTTTATTAGCAGCTATTTAATTGGATTTATTTAAAGTGGTTTAAAATAATAAAAGTACAAAATTATACAGGAAAAAGATAAAAGAA